CCCCAAAACCCCAAAACCCCAAAACCCCAAAACCCCTTATTGCAGTCTGTGCCCCATTTAGATAATTTAATAATAACGAGTTTAGGTAATCTATAAGTTTAGAAATTTAAAAATTTGTTATATTTCTCTTAAACATAGCTTTAATGATAAATTTAATCAAAATGGGATATCTCTTGAATACTCTTAAGACTATTCACCTATTGATGGTGATAGGTTAGGGATATTCTCAAATAAATAGTTGAAGTTGAAAGGTTAGTCTAGCTGATTTTCTCTCTAAAGAGAGCAATCAATTGCATCATTACTAGGACTCTTCAGTATCTCATCAATGTTAAAGTTCTAATTACTATCTTGGTTTATATTCAGATGAGGGGATTATTGATAATCCAATCTTTTTGACTAAATTGGTACACTCGAGTTTCTACGCAAGTCTTCATTTATATAAATGCCATCTAGCATATCATTCTCTAGGTTGATTTTTTGAATATCTTCATCTTCAAATAAAAATTCCTCACCATAGTCTCATTTTCTAGCAACAAAAGGAGGATTTATGGTAGGCTGAGCTGAGTGATTGTACTTTTTAGAATTATATGCAAGATTGATTCCATGAGTATTAAAAGCAGGAATAGATTAGTTTGGACTCTCATAACTTGATGAAGCAACAGTTTCGTATCCTGAACATCGGAAATATTCCTGCTCATCACTGAGTTTACGCTTCTTATAGGAATCTTAATACTAGAATTGCATCACATTGATATCAGCCTTTAGGTTTACCTTAGAGTCACTTAGAAATTTTTTCAAGGGTAATTTAAAATCATCTAACTTTACTGGGGTCAGAGAATTTTGAATCTTTTAAGGTTCTTCTTGCTCTAACTCCACTGCAATGGGAGTCAGTGAGCCAACTTCATCTTCATCCTTTACTATAATATCTCGGCTCTTATTCTCAATATTTTATTAATTTTTAGAAATGTCTGGAGTTGATAATGATTTTGTTATCTAAATTTAAGAAGCTTTGATCAACTCTTATTCTAACTTCTTTTTATGTTTTTACTGATTTTTCTTTGCCCTTCTTTTATTGGATGCCTACTTTGCCCCTAATCTCGAGTGAGCTTCAAACTCTAAGTCAATAGCCCTTACAATCTGAGTAGCTTACTCTATAGTAATGCCTTAAGAAATGTTGGCCTTTAAGATTTTTTGGGTAAGATTGGCATCTTTGATGAAGTGAGGCACAAATTATGAAAGTTTTACTGTCTTTTAGTTTTAGTTAGCAAGCTTAACTAGATCTTTACTGTATAGCTTTTAGTACAAGTCACCTTTGATGAAATCCCAGAAGCTTTTGATTTCAGTGAAGTACTTTTATATCTCATAATAGAGCCTCTTTGAGTTTTCATCTATATTAATCAAAAAAGTATCCTTTTGTTATATGTCTTGGTAATGTATCTTTAACTTAGAACTCACTTAAGTTCTAACCAAATCTAGATTCTCTTTATGTTTTTGGATCTTGGAAAAGACATTTTACTTGTTTCTTTATAGAAGCTGAGCCATATTCAATCTCTCGAATTTAAGTAGGGATTAAGATCTTAAGTGATTAAATTCATGATCAGACCAAATAATTCTGTCCGTTTAAGTTTAAACTCTAGAACCATCATTCTATTTTTTGCTCTGAATGGCTGCTCGCCCCTTTAACAAGTAATTTTCAACTTTCACTATTTCAAAAGAATCTGAAGTGAATGGTGAAGGACTTAGCTGAGTGAGTGAATATTTTTCTGATTTCGCATTGGGATTCTTTTAGTTAGCAGTAGGGCTTACTTTTTTGCTGGTCTTTAAAAGCTTTGCGGAATTTTTAAAGTTTTTGCTAAAACTATCTTGATACTCAGAATTATCTTTAAATGAAGATACAGCATTTAAATTGTTCTCTTTATTTGGAGTTTAGAATGCAGATGAGTTGAAAGAATTTATAACCTTATGCTTGAGACTTGTTATCGTAATTTATAGGTCTTGCTTCTTAAGGCTCTTGAACATAGCTATTTGGCAATCTGAGTGTGATTTGTGAATGTGCAACATCTAAATTAATAAATCAAAAAATCAAATTATAATGTCATTACTTTGTTAAATAATCAATCAATAATTTTGGATATTTCTTAATTGTTGATAATAATAGAAATTCTGAGTCATGGGGTTTTGGGGTTTTGGGGTTTTGGGG